ATATGGAAGAATACTATTTCAGTTGATTAAATGCAACAATGAATGTAATTTTGTCCCATGAATCTTATTTTTTATTGCTCTTCTAACAACAGGGTCAGGGGACTACAGATGAAAATAGCATCTTGGGTAATTCTGACTTTTTTACTCATTTTTAATCATATCTTTTATGAAATTGCCCTATCCATTTTCAAATAAACTAATCTAATCTAAAAATGTCTCATTTCCTTTGTAGATCCTTTTGCCAAAATGGCCGTCTTATTGTCAAAAATTCTCAACCTCAATCATCAAATTTTTAGAAAAGTCTTTCTAAAAAAAAGCTATATTAAATCTATAGTTAATTCAAAACTTGTGAAGTGTCAATGTCAATATAAACTGTACCATATGCAGCGTACTACATTCAGACAGAAATCCTCATATGAGCTTCTACTTACACTGCCCAGACTATGGCTAATGCATGGGAAAGTGGGGCATGTATTCCAGGAGGAGTCGGGTGTACGCTGAAAAACTCTTCAAAGTGATAAATAAAAAACAAGGGCTGTTTCACACACGAGCTAACATTTGCATGTTGCGTCATGAAAGAGTTTTGTCCTTCTATCACAAATTATTAGTATTTGACCCAGATAGAGACACTGTTCTTTACATCAAACACTTTTGCATGAAGATTCTTGTATTTTTAAATGGCTCCATGCTTTGGTTCAAAGCTTTTATCTATAATGTGTGATGGGACTATTGTTGGTGCTCTTGGGGAAGTCTTTCTGCCTCAGATTGGTTTGGTCACTAATCTTAATAAGCATGTTGTGCTTCACAGGTTTCTGAATGACTCCGTCCTGTACTCTTATATGCTTCAATGAACTTTAAAGTTAAGTACATGAAAAACAACTCAGTCTAACAATGTTAATAGTCTTCCACCACATTTCTACCCACATGAATGTTAAATAACATTTGTTTAACTGTAAGTAGTCAGCTTGGTCACAGTTTTCCTCCTAAACCCAACTGCATGACCAAATACCATGGTGACCATCCTCTGAGACCTGCACAGCTCTCACAATACTGCATGAAAAGAAAGGACTGAATGAACAAGAGTTTTTGTTGTCATAGAATGAGTCATTTTATCTTTCTGAATTCACAAAGGAGGTTTAGAGAAGTGGAAAGGACAGATTTAAAAGAACATCTGTAAAAGAAATAAAAAGTATGTAAAAATATTGGTCAACTGGATTAAAAAAACTTCACTTTACTTGGAAATGATGAACAGAATGTTGCAGACATACTCTAACAGACTGTGTGAACAATCAAACATGACTGCCCATTGAAATGCTGCTGAAATCCCCATTGGATTAATGGTCTTTATCTTGGTCATTGATTGTCACTAACTGCACCAGGTCTGAAACAGGAATCTGCTTCGTTGCCATATTGATATCACCTTTTGGTACAATCTGCTGAGCTTTCTCTCAAGAGACCTATTGTATGTTTCCACCATCAGCAGTAACAGGTTTGACTGCAATATAATAATGGACCTGATATATTACTATAATAAATGTACAAGAAACACTTTATACTTACGCTGCGGGTAGTAGTAATGACTTTTTACGAGTTACATAATGAGAGGTTTATGTGTGTGTATATTTTATAATACCATGGAATTGGATGTAGTTAATTTTGTAAGAATTCATGCTAAAGGTGCACTGTGTAACTTGTCCGGTGGTGGATCCATCATCTGATTGTCTCCATGAAGATGTACCTAGAATGTTCCACAGAATGGCCATGAATTTATGAATCTCCATGCAGAGTTTCAAGACAAATTACAGGTTAGGTCCATATTGTGGACAATTTTAACAAAAGCATTAACATCTCCATGGAGATAAAAAGGTTGTGGACCCTCTCCAGAAAAGTTACACAGTGCACCTTTAACCACTATTTGCTACAACACTATAAGATGTTTTCTGTTATTAATAGGGATGTAACAATAACCGAAATATCGTGATATGGTATTATGGTGTTCTCATAATAATATTGTGGACATCACAGTATATCAAATTACAAGTCTCTTTGCTTAAATTAAGAGTTATGGTGCAGCAATAGCTAAAAAAAACGGAACTACATAAACCATGATCCTTTGCTCCACTCAGTGTAGACTACAAGAAGAAATAACAGTTCTAAGCATTTTTAAGTCTTAGTTCTTTGGATTAAGTCATTTTAAGGCATTTTAAGAAGAAAAACAGTTAACAGTTTTGTTAGCCTCCACAAAATATTGCAATAAATATTGTACTGTGAGATGTATATCTTGAAATTATTGTACCGAGAGATTTGGATATTGTTACATTCCTAATCGTGAGCCTCCACACCATATCATGAGCTTTCCCTAAAATCACAATAAATATCATACCATGAGGTTCATACCATGATGAAATCGTATCGTGAAACTTGGATATCGTTACACCCCTAGTTATTAATAATTAAATTACATTTTTTTCAATCCTTTCTCAAACACAATGTTATTTTATTTTTGTATTTGTCCTTCACACTATTATTACACTCCAGAGAGCTCTGTGTTTTTGGGATTTTGACATCCGCCCCAACCCCTCAGCCCCATATCTGTCATGCTCCAAGAACACAGCAAGTCTTACCAAAGCGTTTCATAATGGCAAAAATCTCTGGCCCCTTGCACTGTAAAAATGCTGAAGTCAGCTCCTCTCTCCCCCTCACTACACTGCCACTCGTTGTGATACACAGCTCTGTTTCCTCTGAAAATAGATGAAAAATTAAAGCAGCATAGATGGTGTATGATAACAAGTAACCAAAAGCGTAGTGATGTTCTTTAAATTAGTGTCAAATAAAAAAAAAAAAATAGGGCAGTGTATATGCTAATTTGAAAGGATTTATCATAACAAACCAGGTTTCTTGCATTGTGAAGACAGAATCCTAATCCATGCCATTTTTACTTAGCTCTCTTCCACTGATATCCTTGTAGTGTGTATTTTCGATGACAGCTTAAGAAATCCAGTATGACACCTGCAAGCTGCACAAGGAAACAAGAAACATATAATCAGGAAATATGACATAACATCTTTTAGAGAACAATTTTGAAAGCATAGTGGATACTGTAAGGGTTGTGTAGAATAAGTAGAGCGAAAAAAGTTATCTTCAAAAGATTTAATAAAACATGATGCAAAACAGATAAACAGTAACAGCAAGGACGTGACTTAATAAAAAAGTGTAGCTTTATTGTCTGATGTTATGGGTCTGTTGTGTAAATTGAATGAGGTTTGACGTCAGAGTTTTAAAACCGGAAACCATTTTGTAAACTATCAATTAGGTTTAGTACAAGCAGGTGGGGAAAGTAATTGCGTAATATAATTTGTAGAAGGTCAAAAAAACGCTTGTCCTGCAGTTATGATTAAACTCTAGAGAAGCATCTTATCAGTGTCTCTATGAGGTTATGATAAAACAATACTATAGTTCCATTTGCATAATTACTTTGGTGCTAATGCTACAACTGTTAAACAGCTTTGAGAGCGCTCCTGCTTCTCAAGGCCACCCACTGTAAAAACGGTACACTGTGTACTCTACAATGAATTTTTAAAAATGGAAAATCGAATTTGACTTAAACATCAATCTATTTTTATATCCTGTTTATTTAGAATTGTATGCGTTTGGCTTTGACGCTGGAGTAATTGGCAGCTGGTATGATTTCATTGTTCTCCTATACGCTATTCTTAGTGCACAACAGCGTAGCACAATACATAGCACACGAGCCATTAAAGTAACATGAGCTGACCTGATAATGAAAATTCAATTCAAGGCTCGATGCTGAAAGTAAACCTAATTAGATGAGAATAAAGCCATGTAGTTTTTCATTCAGCGATGGTAAATAATTATTGAAATATAAGCAGGCTGAGCAGAGAGGAGGGGAGCTGTCCTTGGTGCTGAATCAGCCACCCATGTTTTGGCTATGGGCTCTATAACTGTACAGGGACTCTTCTGTCTGTCGACTCCACTAAAGCTCCCAGACAATTCTCTTTTTATTACCAGAGGCGGGGTTTTTTTTTTTTATTTTTTTTATCAGTATTATTTATTTTTTATTCTAAAATGAGTGTCAAGAGACCACTTTCTTTTATTTTTTACGAATATGTATAACAATTCGCTGAAGATCTATAACACCAGCATACTGCAATCTTGTGAAACGCTTAAAGAAAAACTCAGTTAACTTAGTTAGTCTTAATAAATCATAAACATAAGCCTATATTTGTTATTAAAAATGCGTTTCGGGAGGAAAGAGAAACAGAGACAACTATGCTAGCCAACTCCAAAAGAACAGTGTTTTAACCTAATTTTTGTTTAGGGTTATATGGGGAAAACCTGATATTCAGTCTTCAGTTATGAATTTCGCATTCTTTTAACTTTATTTGACATTGTTTACATCTTATATTAGTGGTGATATCGATGGCTTTTCTTTCTAAATTGCACTATAAACATTTTCGACTTTAGTTTAGCTTTAGCATATCTGCCCGCCGATTACCTGGCAGTCTGTGGTCCCGCCCTTTTTCTCTACGTTTCACATTTCAGCCAATCACGAAGCTCACATCGTTTGCTGTAACACTCCTCGACCAATCAGAGCGCGCCGAGCACTTGCCACGGTGAAATCAAAGTTCGTGTAGGAGCGCGGAGGAACGAGCGCGACGGGAGGCAGCGGACGGAGCACTGAAAGAACTGGGACAACAAGAAGAGGATGCTGTTCGCTGTGTGTACCCCTTTTTGGCACGGACTGGCTTTAATTTAGGTCAAGTTTAAGAGAAAACGTAGGTGTAATCCGATCTCACGGGAAACCGGGATGTGGACTTCTTATACGAGAAAATGACTTCACTTTCCCAGCATGCTCCGTCTGAAGAATATGCTGTTGTAGCGCGTTTTGGACCCCTGTTGTGAGCCATTAGATTAGAACGCCTCTACTGTGGACTTATTTTTCTTCTAGTGCTGCTACTGTAAAGCAGTTTGATGCCAAAATGACGGAAATAAATGAGAAGGAGAATGAACCATCGCAGAACCGGGACCTCCAGAGAGCGCAGGCTACTGTCCCCAGTCAACCCGAGTCCAAGGTAAAGAAAATAAAACCGGCATTTTGTTTTTACATGCTTGTTTTTACACTTTTTTAACGTTTTTACCACCAATATTTCTGTAAAAAAATTCCACCACGACAATGTGTACTGGAAAGCATTCATTTGCAAGCCATTCGCATACTGTAAGCTGGAGTGCTTTGTGGTTACAGGACTTACATAAGAGTCGTAATCCTCTTACTTGTTGTATTACACTGACCTAAAGTTAGAGGCCAAGAGATTAAAACAAGGTGTTTTGTCTGGCAAATATTGATACTGCTGTTGTATAGTGTGTGTCAGTTGGGATGAAAGAAATGCAAAGGGGCATGGATTTTGGTCTATTTGTTCAAATTTAAATGATTAAAGTTATTATTTATATTTTGTAATCTATAGTGTCCAGTTACATACCTAAACAGCATCTGTGAAAAAGCCAATTGGATTAAGCTCACTGTATTTATAAGACCCAAATGGAATCTGACAGTTCCTTGGCATTTAGTTCTGCCAGATCTTTTTGCTTCATCAACAGTTTAATCATTAAATTAAGGATAAAGGCAACATAAAGTAAACATTGACAGAGTTTAAGTGTGAAATAAATATTCTACGATCATGTGAAGCATATCAGATCATGTTGCAGCTTTCATTCGCACTCTGACTCAAATTACACACACTACACAGAGTACTTTTTGTGCCAGGAGGTACAAAGACATCAAGGGAAGTGTGCATGATTAGCAGGCTAGCTTCCAACCAGGGCACACAGGGCAGCTGCTACAGTCTAGAAGTAGCTTACCATGATCAGGTGCAGAGAATAGCTTAAGTATTTCTCTGCATGTGTCATTTTACAGGAAGACAGGAAGAATCTATACCAAAGCCTCACAAAAATAGATTAGAAAATAGATTTAAAAGTTGACAGAATGTGTACAATCTTCTTACATATCACATAAATCAGAGCAGAGGAGTTGGGGTCCCAGGGACTTAGGGGCCCAGAATTAGACCCCCCACTTATTAATTCATATTTGATTGGGGCCCATGTGATGCTGCTTGCCCCAGGCCCCCAAACTTCTGTTGATTGGCCTGCATCAGAGCAATGTATAGACCTTTTAACCATTTAATAAAGATGGGGTTACAGCTGAAATGACAAAGTTTTAGGACCTAGTGACTAATGATCAGGTTCATGTTAGATATTTTTATTACATATTTTTTGACCAGTTCTGTATAACCAATAGGAAAATCAGTTTTTCCCCCAGCTGGGAGTATGATGTCATCACAGTTAGAAACTGAAAATAACCACTGTGACGTTAATAGCCTTTTAGGGAGTAACGATATCCAAGTCTCATGATATGATATGGTCACGGTATGAACCTCACGGTATGATATTTATAATGATATCGTGGGAAAGCTCACGATATGAAGGGGAGTCTCACGATTAGGAATGTAACAATATCCAAATCTCTTGGTACAATATTTGCACAATATAAATCTCATGGTACAATATTTATTGTGATATTTTGTGGAGGCAAACAAAACTGTTAACATGCAACTTTTTCCTCTTAAAATGTCTTGACAAGATTTAATCCAAACAACAAAGACTTAAAAGTGCTTACAACTGTTATTTCTTCTTGTAGTCTACACTGAAATGGAGCAAAGGATCATGGTCTGTGTAGTTCCCTCTGTCTTTTTTTCACTATTGCTGCACCATAACTCTTAATTTAAGCAAAGAGACTTGTAATTCAATATATTGTGATGGTCCACGATATTATTGTGAGAACTTTGATGATACGATATCACGATATTTTGGTAATTGTTAAATCCCTATAGCTTTAAGTAATATTATATTGAACTAAGTCAACATTTTATATAGTTATAATAGAATTATATAATAGAATTATAATGGTGTTTTTGCTAATACCCTGCAGCTCTAATCAACACATTTTATGACACCTAGCGACCTCCCCTGGGCTGTAAAACTGTAACTCTGTGTCAGACTCCACACTGCTCCTCATCGATCCCTCCTGATGAAATTTTGGGCATTGTTTTACCAAACACCTGACCCAAATCCCTCCTCTGGCCTGTGTCTAATTGAGAACATAGAGCAGCCCTATAATTGCAGCTGCAGCCTTCTTCTGCCATCACAAATCTTCCTCTTCGCCTTTGTCATCCGGAGGGACCATAGGGAGCCTGGACAACAAGGCTGGCTGGAGCGGCTCCTTGTTGTATCTATGTGAGAACAGACAGCAGCGCACAATGGGGAGGGTGGATTTATGGAGCCAATCATTTAGCAGATGTTTGCTGTGTCTTGCAACGGGCTGGCTCATAATTCACACAAATAGCCATGTAAAAAGAAAGAAAAAACCTGGCTGCGTCATTTGTGTGTCTAGTATGTTGGTTAAAGCCCCTTGCTGAGGACATTGATTTCATTACACCAGACTAAACATTTGATGAGGTCATTTCTCGCTCTTGTCAGCACCTTTTGTCTCAGTTCTGTACCCTCCTTTATAGCTCCCTTATAGTGTATTTATAACAACAACCTCTGATCCAGGAGGGTACAATGAGAAACAGTGCATAATATTCGTCTCTTCCTAAAGGTAAGATGAAATCATATAGTACTACTTCAAGGCCTTACGATATACAAAACTGAACTTGTTTGAGCTTGCCGTATTGTTTCCCGCATTCAAACACATAATGTACTTGTTTTTATGTATTTTGTTGCATCTATTTTGATTAATCCAACAAATTAGACCATATACTTCCTCTTGATATTATCTTGTGGTTAGGTCTGTCATGATAATTACTATATCGACTTATCATTCAGTGTAGCAAAGCTGGAACAATATATTTTTGGGCTCAGTTTTTATCATGTGTTCTGTACATTTTCTTTGCGTTTATGGGAAATTTTGTGTTATTTTTTGTGACTATCTTATCGTTATCTATGTGGCAAGATTTGAGCCATAGTGCCACAATAATAATAACTTCTCTGACATAAATATGTCACCATGTTTAACCAAATTCCTTTTTTTTTTTTATATATATTGAGGGGTTGTTGGTTTAACTCTTTAACTCTTGCCCTTGAATTTCAAATGAGCAGTTTGAAATGAATTGCATGTATAGTGAGTATACAGTGAGTGTGTTGTATGTATTGTGAGTGTGCTGGTTTTATGCACTTTTGTGTGATTGTTGTTGTACTTTTCTCTGTCCTCTAGATGATTTTACATCAACATGCCGAGGGACTGAAGATGGAAATTAGCCACGCTTTTAAATGTTCATTAATATGTGCTGTCCCTTTACAAATAAATAAATAAGAAATAAGATGCAAACTAAATACTAAAGTGTTAAACTCTGCTGTTTATTTATTGCAGCAGGTTTTTAATCATATTGTAGATTTAGAACAGTTTTTGTGGTTCTGCTCTTGAGTTATTGTGTCAGTGACATACAAACAGTGAGTTTCAGTATTACTGTTTATCATCTATATTTATTTCAGCAACATATTGCATAAAATAAAATAAAATGCTTAGCTGACAGATTTAACTTTTGCTATGGACCCTATATATCTGCATGTATGAGGAATTGCACAGACATATTTTATACCTGTAGCTCCAACTTTGATGTTAGCAGCTAATCCTTCTTGCCAGATTCAAACTGCTTATAGTATAGCTGCAGATGGAGTCGTTTGTGATTGCTTTGGTTTAACACAAAGTTCTACGCAATCATTTTAAGTTTAATGTAGTTGGAAATAGAAACTAACTGCAGCATTAACTTTTGACAAAGTTGTAAAAGATGATTATGATATACTGAGCATCGCTGTGGGACAGGTCCTGGGCCAGAGCCATAAAAAACTCAGGGTAAATGAGTTTTTATGAGTCTATCACATGGTTCTCGCGTCCTCCACTCCTAAGGTTAAGGCTCTATTTCTTTTTAAGGAGTTGCTACATCAAATAATGTGGTATAGATATTAAGACAGATGCCCTTCCTTATGTACAGTAATACTCTTCAGCGTTTGGGACAGATACAGATTCAGACTACTTTATTAATCCTACCATGGGTAATTAGTTTGAGCAGTAAAGAGAAATATAGTGACAAAGAAATACTCAACACATGGAGCAACTCTGAACAAAGAGGAGCTCTGAGGACTAAGAAGCACTCAATAAATACATGAAAAAAAAATTCATCAGTTTTATATAGCACTTTTCTGGACACTCAAAGACACTTTACAGAGCATTATTCATTCACTCCACACTCAGTGGTGGTAAACTACTAGTCACAGCTGCCCTGGGACAGACTGATGGAAGCAAGGCTACCAATTTGCACCTTCTGCCCCTCTGACCACCACCATCATGCACACACCACTTTCATACTAGGCCATGAGGGTGAAGTGCCTTACCTAAGAACACAACTGGTGCCTCACTGTGGAACCAGATTTTCCCAGTGGTCTCCCATCCAAGTACTAACCAGTCCGGCCTTGCTTAGGTTCTGAGATCTGACGAGATCAGGCTCTGACAAGTTGGCATGGCGATCATCACATAGAATTTAAAAAGACAGGCAAAACTTGATTATTTAAATAACAGTAATGGACAGAATCATGTATGTGTTTATTTAGTAGAGACTAATCGAGTAATAATGACTTCTTTGATCTAATATTTCTCTTTGGGGGGATGTTGGCATAAATCGGGGAAAAGTTACACATAGAAGTTGTTGCTAATCACTATGGGAATCACAGGCCTGTCGTGATAATTACTATATTGACAAATGAAAGCTGGAAAAATGTTTTGTCATTCTTTATTTTGGTCAGTGTATGTACTTTTTCTTTGTTATTTTTGGCGAAATGATAAGATTTGAGCTGTAGAAGGGTGAGTTAATAACTTCTGTGACTCATTATAGATGCAAACTAATGACTAACGTTTCATTCTGCTATTTATTTCTTACAGCTCATTGTTTCATATTTACTAAAGCAATATACTCACAACCTTAGACTTGAGACAAACTGAAATTTAGCAATACAGCGTGTGTTT